GTTGATGGATGCTGTCCGATGTTTTATTGGGAAACATCAAAACCAGTGGGATTTACATTTGCAGCAGTTAGCGGGAGCCCTTCGTGCCTCGGTGAATCGTAACACTGGCTTCACTGCAAACAAATTGATGTTGGGCCGGGAAAAAAATCTACCTTCTCATGTAATGTTCCCGCAAAGAAAACAGAATATTGATGCAGATGACTTTGTAGCTAAGCTTACCAGTCAAATGCAGAAAGCACATGACACGGCCAGGACTACTCTAAAGACATCGCTGAAGCGCATGAAAAGAAACTATGATCTGCGTATACTTGAGAGACAGTACGAAGAAGGTGATGTTGTCTATTTATTGGACTCCGCCACTTTAAAGGTTAAATGCAAGAAATTGTGTTCTCCTTGGAAAGGTCCTGCTGTCATCGTCGAGAAGTTGTCAGTTCCTTTGTTCAGAGTGAAATTGCGCAACGCAATTTTTGTGGTCAACCATGCCATGATAAAAATATGCCAGCATGGATACAGCAATGGCAACAGAAACCTGTTGATGCATATTCTTCAACAGATGAAGATAAAGCACTTTATTGCTTTTGCCGGAAGCCATGGCAAGGAAGATTCATGATACAGTGTGATTACTGTGATGAATGGTATCATGGGTCATGTCTTAACATTACAGCGTCAGACGCCTTAGACATTGACAAGTACAAGTGCACGACTTGCAAAGCACCTGAATTTCTTTTTTTGTTAATGTGAAGTGTTTTGTTTGTGTTTTTCAGTAAGGCTCACTGTTCCAGACCCAAAGATTACTTAGGGGAGGTGGTGGAGAATACAATCCTAAGGATTCTATGTTCTCCAAAAGAAATTGTATATAACCTGATGATGTGTAGACGTGGGACCCCAGAAGAGAAAATAAACGCTCTTCTCGGACATGTCCGTCTAGCAAAACATGGGAAAGCAACTAGGTGGCAAGTAACCGTAGCCCAAGAAGCTGTTACTCTACAATTTCAGAGTCATGACTGGATTTCAGAAGATATCCATGTCCTGCCGAAGAAGAAGAGGGCGATAGCCAGTACCGTCCTACCCACAGCCTCGGTCGATTACCGGAAGAAGACTGATCCAACGACCACGTCTGTAGTTGAAGATCAGGGTAGATTGGCCTTGGAGGCTAGGAGTGAAAAGAAGCAGGAAGAAGAAAAGGCGTCGTCATCAATATCATCGGGCACCGAAGATAATCTTTTGAGTGTAGTTGATATTGTGGGCAGTCCGGAAGCTGTTGAGGTCGTGCTAAGCACCTCTCCGGCAACCGAGGCCATGGAAGTGGACAGTTCCAGTGCAACGGTCCCTTCTATGGAACAATCGTTGGCTGTTCCGGCTTCTCCATCGGAACATCGGGGGACGATATCTCCAGTAAGGTAACATTCTCCGGTAAAGAAGCGTGTTCCGTCAGAGAAAGACGTTGATGTCTCTACCAAAAGGCGAAGACGACCAAGAAGACGTCATCGTCACAGGAGTGACAAGGAGGGAATGCTGCCTTGTGGACGTGGCATGACGGTTGACTTGCCTGGTCAGTTGAGCTATGTAAGCTCCAGGGACGACAGATCTGAATCCCGAGATGTCAGCAGTGGTGCTATTCCCAAGAAACCGAAGGTGAGTCATTCTGACCGGGGACAAACGTCCTCCGTCGAATGCGTCACAAGAGGAAGTTCTTCCCTAGGACGTGGCTCCCACCAAGGGACAACTCCTAAGGTGGCTGGTAGTCGCTCTAAGGAAAGGACACATGCAGCAGCATCCAGTAAAGTAGTTTAGCGCGGAGGAAGGTTGTCAAGTACTGGTGTAACTCTCCAGGAACGATGGTTAGGAAACTACCCGCCTATATGACTGAAGTACTGTTGGGAAAAGGCGTAAAATGAAACAAACAAACAAACAAGCATCCAGTAAAGACGGGACAAGGCGGTCTACCACCGAGGAAAAAGGGAAGATACAGATAACTGTACCTAACCCAGAAAGGTGTAGACCATCATCAGTTCAGCAGCAAAGGTCATCCAGGAAGTCTGATACTGACATGGGACGTAGAATGGAACGTAGGCAACCATGTTTGATTCCGGAGTGCGACATTCCAAATGCGTATCCGAAGAGTCATGCGTTCCAGCACCACATCCCTAATCTTTTCAAGGAGGGGAGGGAATTGGAGGAAGTGACACGAAAACGTGTAGCAGCCCTCAAGCTGATGACTGGTTGGTTGCTGGGTAATCGAGCCAAGCTCGAGGACCTGGTAAAGTACATTAACAGCACTGAGCAAGTTCCTCGTGACAGTAACCGGGAGGTGTCAAACAGATTAAAGGAGGAGATGGAGGATATGTCTCGGGAATTATTCCAAGAACTCCCTGAGCGATTCGTCATCTCGCCAATGAATTCTTTGGCAGCTCTCATCCATTGGCGCGTCTTGATTGTTATCATAGCTAAGCTTGAACCAAGACATCGCCAGAGTCTGATGGAGCAGTTCCACGACTCCGATGAGCCCTCAGAGCCTACCGAAGCCCCAGCCGATGTACCAGAGGGATTTGATAGCCACTTCCACCTGGATAGATTGCAGGGAGTGATGCGTATGCGTGGAGCCAGTTTAGCCGAAATAAATCAGGCTACTGGTGACCCCTACCATCGAGTAAACCTTGTGGGAGCTGTGGCTAACTTCTGTGACCCAGCTACTTACCCCTCCGAAGATTTGGTAAGGAAACTTCACCAACTATCGGTCTGCACCCTAAGGATGTCGGCGAGGTTACAGATGAAACATTGAAGCGGACCGAATCCCTTCTACAGATGCCAGAGGTTATCGGTCTGGGAGAGGTTGGCATTGACCACACAGTGTCATCAGAGTTCTGGGGGAGCCAATTAAGGATCCTTAACAGTGCTTTGAGCTTTCTTCAGGACAGGCATGTTTTGATCATCCATTGTAGAAGCATGGCGCGTACAGGCGATACCAGTGAAGCCTTCATGACTTTACTGTTTCATCTTCAGCCCAGGGTTCGAAAGGAACAAAACATCCATCTTCATTGTTTTACTGGCTCGGAGAGCATGGTCAAAGAGTGGACGTCGGTATTCCCGAACACCTCCTTTGGTTTTACAGATTAGTTGACCGGTTCGATGAAACTCAGCTAAGGGATTAAGAGCTGTACAAGATACAGAATCCTTTCTTGGACAGAGCTCCTATTCCAGTTCCCCCGGGGGTAAAGAAACCCGGATTTCGACAGGGAACAAATTTTCTTTCCCATTTTAAATTGGCATGACTGCTGCTGTTTTTGCGGGGGGAAAAAACCGGGGTGATTACTTCGAAAGACTTGGCTAACGCCATTTTTGATGGGGGTAAAAAAAATTGGGTTCTAATTTCTAACAGCTTGGGAGTTTATCGGCCCTTTTAAATGGGCCCGGAGATATCCAGGGGAAACCCTTTCAAATTAAAAATTTAAATGGATTTTAAAATAAAGTTTTTAATCGCTTCAAAACCCTACAAAAACAACTGTTTTTACAGGCCAACGCCTGAAAAGGGGGTCAAGGGGATGGTTAAAAACCCAGGAGGGGGATTTAAGAGTCGGGGGGTGTACACTTCCAGGGAGAGGACATCGTCTTTAAAGTCGGGGTAGTGTGGTGAGATATGATAGTCTGACCATATCCGGATGATTCCGATACCGGATAGACGAGATTTAGTCCGTGCATGACGAGCAAGATCGAAGCCGCCATCTTGATGGAACTAGAGAAAAGACAACAAGACGAAATCCGAAGTAACTTATTGCTATAAACAGTCATCCGTACAGGGAAAGTGTTTCAAGGTAAGCAGAACACTTTAGTATTTTGTGTAAATATTGTTTAGGATTTTATTGGATGTGATAGATATGTATAGAGGTTTGTAAAATTTGTTTTGTGAATATGTAAACTGATTTGTCATATATTTTCGTGAGGTATTTTTTTTCTCTTTCTGATTTTTTTCTTTACTGAGTAAATAATCAATTAGGGATATATTTTTGTCATTGAGTTTGATCTAGATAGAGTTTATATTTAGTACAACACAGCGTCTTAGGTTATTTTTTGGTATTTACATTATTTTTTCTCTAAGTATAGGGTGTGTTATTTATTCATCATTTTTTTTTCTAAAACGTTAGGGCGTGTTTAAATTATTGAGTTGTCCAAATCCTTCGGTCTGATTTATTCTTGCCCAACAATCGAGCACACTTTCTTTGCATACTGTCTTCACATACTCTTTGCACTTTACTTACCATAGATCTATGATTGAGAAGAGGAGTGTTTAAGGTAAGGGTTGTCTGTTCTGTGTTGTGTTGTCATTTTGTGTTTCAGTATATTAAATAGTAATTCTTGAGCAGACGACGGTTGAGTATATTGTGATCCGTCACCGGCGTGAAATTGATATAACGTATCTGTATACCATATTGTAAAATTTTGTATACAGTATTTGATATTTTATACGTGTTATTCACCTATTTTAGCCTAGTGTTGTGTAAATGTTTAAAAATTTACGTACCCTAATTTCAGCGCTACCCGACTTTATTTTCTTTAGAACATTTTAAAATTTTTTGTTTTTTGAAATAATACATACAAAATATTTATTTTTTTTTTTCGCTTTTTTCATTTTGTTTTTTGGGTTTAAAACCGAACCCCAAAAATAGCTTACTCTCGCTTTTTGGGGGGTTTCACAGCTGCGCATTTTTTTGAATTTTTAAACAAAAAAACGGGGGAAATAATTTAAGTTTTTGTAAATTTGGGCTAAATTTGCACTGCTTTTGAAGATAAAAAATTATTGTAATTTTTTTTCCTTTTATAAATTTTTGAATTTTTTTCAAAGAGTATTTTCCCTTTGGTGGGGGCCATCAATTAAAATTTTAATTTTTTTAATTTTAAAGGTGCAAATTTTTTCTTTTTTCAGCTACTATTGAATTTCTCTTACAGGTTTTATTTGTGTAGATTGTGTTCATACTTCTAGTCATTAAACATTTTTGTTTAAAATGGCTGAGGGGTTTTCTGATAAAGGTGGCATGGGATTAGGTGAAGATGCACCTTTGTCCGATGCTCACCTTAAGCAGATTTTAGAGGCTCTAAAGAGTAATGGAGATTATGTTGTGCTAACTAAATCTGAGTATGCAGCTTTGCATAAACCAGTTAGTACAAGCACACCTGCCCCTAAGCGACCATTGACTGATTTTATTAGAGCTTCTCAAGCTCATGATTTTTCTTTGCATCCATCACAAATTCAGGTACCGAAGTTCGAGACACCAAAGTTGCCTTATTTTTCAGGTGATCAACCTCCTTTAAAGGGTGACGAGTCTTATGCTGTATGTAGATTTGAAACTAAATGTTTAATTTCAGAAAATTTACCTGAACAAGTTATCTTACAGGTTATTAGAAGGTCATCGCGAGGTACAGCAAGACGTACAATTATTTCTTTAGGTGAACATGCATCAAGTGTTGTTATATTAGATAAACTTGATATTCTTTTTGGTGAAGTATCTACCAATGAGTCTGTAATGCAATCTTTTTATAATGCATCTTCAGAGAATGTTACTGCTTATGGGTGTCGTCTCGAAGCTTTACTTCAAGTCGCAGTTGAAAGTGGACATGTTACAGTTGCTGCTAGAAATGATATGTTACGTTCTAAATTTTGGACAGGTTTGCGTGATGAGAAGTTGAAGATTCTTACCAGAAATAAATATGATTCAATTTCAGATTACAACACATTATTAAGAGAGGTGCGTTCTGTTGAACATGAATTGTCAGCTTCTAGCAATATTTCAGCATCTGTTAATGCAGCCCAGCAGTCCACGCCAGTTGATAAGAAAACTATTGATGATCTTACTGGTAAAATTGATTTACTCATGAATAAAATGCTCTCTTTAGAAAACAGATACAGGAGAAGCCAAAAAGAAACTGCGAGTTCCAGTAACAATTATTTCTCTAGAAATAGGTACAATTACCAGAGACGTGATGGAAACTATCAGAGTTATAACCAACAGAGACCTAGATAAGAAAGATAATTCTGATATTAAGAGTTATGTTGGAAATAGGTCAAATAGTAAAAGGTCAAACAGTACATTTAAAGGTAAAACGACCCAAAAGAGTAGACTCCTCTGTTGTAGGGCGAACTGAGGAAGTCAATGTGGGTAAAAGCCCTGAAAGTAACAAGTTAGTGACTTGTAGACAAGAATGGGTTGGCAAAGCCAATCAAGGCAAGGCTGTTATTTTTGGGGTAGGGAAACTAAATTAAAACTTGTTATGGGGGTCAAATTTTACCTTGATTTCAGATCTTTATACAATTCATTTTAAACCCAAAACCCTGATTTGTGTGAATAACTGTTTTAAATTTGAAAATTTAGATGAAAGGGGTTTTATTACCATATATTATATATTGAGGGTAAAATTTTAATAGCTTCTTTTTTTAACCCCTGGTGTTTCTTTCCCCAATTTTTAGGGGGCCGGGGAATACAAAAACCCCCCAAGATTCCCTTTATTTTTGGTAAAAATGGGGTTGCGTTTTTTTTAACAATGTTTTTAATCATGAAAATTTCTTTTTTTGGGTGCTTTAAGAATTTTTTTGGGAAATGAAATGACATTAAAAACCCTTAACTTCTTTTAAAAAATTTAAAAAACCCAAGATCAACAAGGAAAGGCGGCGTTCAATGAACGCAACCCCCATATTTAAGTCAACCAACAAATTCCCTATTGTGATACATCCTAATTCAAGTTTCTACTATTTCAGGTCTTGTTAGGAATCATAATATATATCAACAGCTGTAACAGAGGCTACTGGTAAACCACAATTAACTGGTTTGAATATTTGTCCTCGAGTTGTCTCCCTTGATGGTGAAGGATCTACTGCTAGAGTACCAGTCCGTGTTTGCAATGTTACTTGTAAACCCATCAAATTCTACCAAATACTCATATTTGTTCTCTTTCAGAGGTAAAAGTTGTTGACTCATGGAAACCTGAAAAACAATCTTCTACTACCCACCAGAAGTATGTTCTTCTTTTTAAAAATTTACAGGACTTAGGTATAAAGTACATGAGGAAAACTTGACAGAGGAGCAGTATATTAGAGCACAGCAGACTTTAGGCAATTGGGGGAAAATCATTTTTCTAAATCTTTTACAGATATTGGGCAAAACTGACATAGTTAAAACATCACATTAAACTTACTGATGATAAACCTTTTAAACAACCTTACAGGAGAAATTTCCGCCATCTATGTATGAAGAAGTTCGCCAACATTTGCGGTAAATGTTAGATTGTGGTGCAATTAGAGAAAGTCAATCTCCTTATTGTAGCAAAGTTGTTTTGGTCAGAAAGAAAGATAACAGTTTAAGATTTGTATAGATTTGCGTGAACTGAACAGAAGAACCATCAAAGATCATATACTTTGCCGCGTGTAGATGACATGTTAGATTCTCTTGTTAATGCTAAATATTTTTCCAAACTAGATTTACGTAGTGGATTTGGCAAGTCGAGATAGCTGAGGAAGACAAGGAGAAGACAGCTTTTTAGTGTTGGAAGACTTGGTTTTTACGAATGTGAGAAATGGCCCTTTGGTCTCACAAAACGCTCGCAAGGACATTTCAAGGTTAATGGAAACATTTATGGGCGATTTAAATTTAAAAGAAGTGTCTTATTTTTCTAGATGATGTTTATTTTTTTTTCACAGATTTTCGATGAACATATCAACAGAATAGAAGCTTGTATGAGGCGTGTTCGAGAGCATGATCTTAAATTAAAACCTTCAAAGTGTGAATTTCAGTTCGAGTGTTTCTTATTTAGGTTATGTTTGTTTCCTCAGATGGTATCCATACAGATCCTGAAAAATGCTCCTTTGACTACTTGGCCAGTACCACAGTAATGTAAAAACTTTACGGTACATTCTTGGTTTTACAGGGTATTACAGGCGTTTTTGTAAAATTATGCTAAAATTGGCTAAGCCGCTTAATGAACGTTTTTAGTAGGTTTCATCCAACCAACAAGGCATCTAAGAAGTCCAAGAAGAGTAAAACTCCCTGGGTTTGGGGTGATGAGCAAAACAACAGGCTTTCGACACTATAATACATCTTTTAACTCATTCACCTGTTCTTGGTTATGCTGATTTTTCCTAAAACCATTTATTGTTTCTGTAGATGCTTCGACAGAAGGTCTTGGTAGTGTTTTATACCAAGAACAAGATGGCCTAGAACGTGTTATTAGCTATGCCAGCAGAGGTCTACGTGCCAGTGAGAAGAACTACCCAGCACACAAAGTTGGAGTTTTTGTGTATGAAGTGGGCCATCACAGAGAAGTTTCATGACTACCTGTATGGAAACACCTTTATTGTCCGAACTGACGACAACCCACTTACATATGTCTCTTCTTCTGCCAAGTTAGATGCTACTAGTCACAGATGGTTAGTTGCTCTTGGTAACTACAACATCAAAGCTGTTTTACAAGCCAGGTAACCAGAACAGTGATGATGATGGTTTGAGCAGGAGGCCACACCTTCAAGAAGATGAAGAAATCATGTTTACAGATGTCATCAAGGCCATGTGTACAGAAGCCAGAGCCAGAACAAATGAACATCCCCGTTGTCGAGTCATATGTTCTTACAGGTAATGGTGTGTTTAGAGTCTGAGCCTTTTGAAGACACATTTTTATCTTCAGGTATTCCAAAAATCAACTGGAAGGAAGAACAGGCCAAAGACCCCATTATTTCCAGGTTGTATGAGATTGTGGACAACAGGATACATCTCAACAAACACCAACTCAGCCATGAGCCTAAAGCAGTACAGAAGACACAGACCATCCTTTACCATCAGAGACGGCGTACTCTACAGAACATGCGAAATTGATGGACAGCAACTTTTTCAGCTGGTTTTGCCTGAGAGTTTTAGAGAGTGGGCCATAAAGGGACTCCATGATGATGTTGGTCACCAAAGGTAGAGACAGAACCCTTTGTTTGCGTTAAACAGAGGTTTTTCTGGTTGGGCCCTAGAAAATCTATCAGAAAAGGGTTCAAACTTCCCCAAACTGCCGAGAAGGAAGTCACCCAGCTTAAAGCCCAAGCCCACTTTCCCTTAGACTAACATCCTTTGGAGTTGTTTTGAAGACCTATTTGTCTTTGGAGAAGTCTAATAAAGGCGGTACGAGAACATTCTGGTTCATCACATATCACTTTACTCGCTACCAAGGGGCCATTCCGACCCGCAACCAGACGGCACAGACCGACCTGCACGATCCCTCTTCGAGAACTTCCTTTTCCCCATTACTTTCCTTTCCAGCAAACTTCATAGCTTGAAACCAGGGAGGAATTTTTAAAGCAAAGGTCATCAAAGAGGCTGTGTAGTATTCTAATTCAAGAAGCCAGGCCACTCCATACCAAACCCAATGGGCAATGCGGGTTACAACGATTTCCCAACTCCACGCTACCTCAACATGGCTTTGCTTACCTTTTAGACTCTTCCCCGGGGAAAACCCAACCCGGAAGGACTATGTAAACCACTAAATTCACCCTAAAAATCTAAACCCGACACGATTTTTACCGGATTTTTCCCCCTTACCCCCCTTTTTGGTTGGGATCCAAATTGCTATTGAAATTTTTTTGGGAGTCCCAAACACAAAACCCCCCAAAAAGCCCGTAAAAGACAACTATGCTGGCCCAAAATCAGGGAAACGCTTGGGTTTTTTTTACCAAGTTCCAGAAAAATTTAACCAACAGTTTTGGGGCGCCACAAAAAATATTAACATAAGGGGCGCCCATTCAAACTCTTCAAGTAGGAACAGATTCCTATCAAGAATGTGACGCCTACTGGAAAGTTGGATGACAAGTGGCAAAGGGACCCATACTTGGTGACAGCAATCCCAAGACCAACAAAGTTCCGTCGTAATAAGAAAGGAGGGAAACGGCACTGGACCAACCAAGACCCTTCACTAGAATCTTTTACTTCCTCTTCACAGTATCCTTATGAAGATAAACCAAGATTTGAGTCACCAAAATCAGGGGAAAACAACCAGAAGGTATCGCCACAACATCGGATAAGTTTGGAATGATCCGACAGCTCAACAGATCCAGAAATTCAAAGCCCATGAATCTGAAAACCATTGAGAAGTATAAATTATCCCAGCTCGGAAGGAGACCGGTTCCAAAAGCCCCGTGTCACGTTGGCCAGACCTGGGCAACCATCTAGCATCCCTAGTGTTATTTTGTGGTACTCCAGTGTTTTTAATACTAAGGTTTTCTTTTCAGATGGGTAACACCTAGTTCAGAAAATTTTACATTTTCTCTAGGTCCTAATTTCCTCATGTTAATTCTGAATCTCAATGTTTCAGGTTTATTAATTGGATAAGAATATTTTTTCTTTAAGGTCTTAGGTCCTAGCCTCCAAGTGCCAATACCAGTAAATCAGTCCAGCACCAGTCCAATAGTTTTTAACATTCAAAAGACCCTCGAAAGTACCGGAGAGCCCCCATAAACGGAGAGTGGGTTACACCCAATCACTGCTGTTGTAAACCCAATACAATCAAGATGGTGAAATTTTTTTGTAATAGCATTGGAAGAATGTCCACGGTATTAATATAAACAATTTTGTTGTTTTTCCCGCCCTAATTTTCAGCTAATTTTAAGCTTAAAAATTAAAATTTATTCTGAAAAAATCATCAAAATTTAAAAGTGATTAAACATTTAAATTAGTGTTGATTATTATTAAATTACTAAAGGTTTTTTTTTAAGCTCCTTTTTTAAAGTATTTTATTAAGGTTATTTTTAAATTCCTGCAGGTAATCAGTTAAAAACTCTACCCTTAATCAGTTTGTACCAGAATATAATATGTATTTTTTCGCATTTATTTCGAATATATCTTTATTTTTCAGCAGCACTGAGCCTACACCTTTAAATTCAGTTAAACTGAGTTTATATCTTTATTTTCAGCAATATTGAGCCTATACCTTTAAAATCAATTATTTTTGGGGTATATACCTTTATCTTTAAGCTGAAGCAGTTACATACCTTTAGTTG